TGGAGTGGAGTTGCTTGGCTTGTAGTCACTGATGACCTGGATGCCCTGCCACATGCGTCGGGGGTCAGAGTTGGAAAAGTGTTCCTCTACCTTTAGCTTGTAGCAGTATTTGGCCTTTTTGATGCCCCTCCTCAGGTTAGCCCTGGATTTGCTGTAGGCCTGAGCATCATCTGATCTGAAGGCAGCGTTGCGGGCTTTCAGCAGGAGTCGCACCTCCTTGTTCATCCATGGCTTCTGATTAGGGTATGTTGTGATCTGTTTCTCTGTTGTAACACTGTCAATGGTGGTGTTGATGTAATCCATTACAGAGGAGGTATAGATATCAATGTCCGTGTGAGAGCCACAGGCAGCCTGAGAAGCAAACATACTCTAGTCCGTGTATTGAAACCTGTCCTGAAGTAAAGAGTCTGCTCCTGTTGGCCACACTTTGATGGTCCTCACTGATGGCTTCACACGGTTGATGAGGGGTGAATACTTAGGGGTGAGAAACAAGGCCCATGTACAATTATGACACATTGTACATTTTTGCATCTACGATTCCTTTTTGCAATACCTGCTCTTGAGGAAGCTTCAAAATGGGAAAAGCGAAAGTGACCGTAATGTTAAATTTGTCTTGGCAATTATCTTGGTTTTAGGAAACTCTGGAAAACATAGGTTGTACAAATTAGATGTGACCTAGGATTAGAAGACAGGACCACAAATTGAACAGACTGTACTTCAGCATCGTTTCATGTGCGTTAACAAAAGCAGCCTACCCTTGTTAGTTAGGTCTACTCTCTGCTATAGAGTGTTATAAGCTAGCTGTTAGTAGAGGGTTTGGCTTGTTAGTTTGTTCCAATTATCTGGTAGTCTGCTGGTATATGTTTTAACAACACCATTCAACATTCACTATTCTGCAAAAGGCATATAAAATATACATATACATATAACAGATATTTCATAATATAATATAATATAATATGATATAATATATTGTTTTTGGAGGAAAATGTGCCGATAGTATACTTTAAAATAGTGTTCCCTTTCGAATGGTCTCTCCCGTTTCGTCGCTGAAGCTTTGGGGAAACTCCTGTTTACTCCGTTACTGAAGCCTGATTTGTTCACTATCATGTAACCAATGGTGCTTCAAACTGCCAAAAGGGGAGGAGCTGACCTCTATATAAGTCTGTTCTGAGTGCCATTTCATCAGATTTTTCTCCTTAAGCGATGAAGATCATCTTGGGCAGTGCCCAAGCAGAGGTACGTTCAATGAGACAGCATGCTCTCACTGCGAGAGCATGAGTCTTGCCCTTCTCTGCTCATGGACCACCTTTTTTAAGGAGCGCGGTCCTTCCTGCTCTGCTCTCACGTTTCCTCTCTCCCCTACGAGAAAGAAACAGTGGAGCAGTGGGGCTCGAGTGATCCCATGCCGGCACAACCCCCACGTGCTTCACTTTCCCCCCAACACCTTGATTCGCCAGTGTGTTTCACATGTGAGGATCAGCGTCCCTTGTCATCTGTGAGCAGCTTGATTTCCTTCGGTGTATCTGAGGAAGACATCGCCGTGGATGACTACATGTCATTGACCGCTTCAGATGCTGAAGAGTGGGCGTGCTCCAGTGAAGAGCCCGAAACTCCGCCTCTAACGCAGACAACACGGCCCAGCTTGGAAAGTGAGCTGATCCGCGTTCTTTCTAAGGCTGTGGAGGATCTCGGCCTGGCTTTGTTGGCTCCGGCAGAGCCTGCTCACAGCCTCCTCAACAAGTGGTACCTAAAGGGATGCCGTCAACATTCCTCCCGCCAACAGCCCACCCCAATCTTGCTGGCAGCTCATGAGGAACTCACCAAGACGTGGCACACCCCCTATGAGGCCCATGATAATCCCTCTACTTCTTCCGCTCTCACCACTGTTGACGGCGCTGAAGAAAGAGGTTATGGCAAGCTCCCCCCTCTGGAAGAGGCGGTCGCTGAGTATCTGTGCACTGCACGCTACTAAGGCCACCGCACAGGCGATCAGCAAGGCCGTGGCCAATTTGGTGGTGCTAGAGCCACCTTTGGCTGAATCTGACAGAGATCAGGAACACTGACAAGGTCGCCTTTCTAGACTCGCCAGTCTGTTTGGACTGTTTTCTCCTGCTGTGGATGGGTTTGCTGAGCGGTTTACAGCACCACAGAAGTCATCGAAGGCATTGCGTCACTTCCTGCTAAAACGCTCCAGTGCGGCAGCTAGTTCAAATCACCAGAAGGCTCCATCCGCCCTGCAGCCTGCCAAGCCGGCGCCACTTCAGCTCCAGCCCCAGCCCCAGCTTTAGTCCGAGCCTGGGCTTCAGCAGCATCCCCGGAAAGTGAAACTCTACCCGTTTCCGAAGCGCCAAGGTCCCCACCCCAGAGAGACGCTGGACCCAGAGCCTCAGAAGCCGTCCTGATCTATATGCAGAGAGGAAGAGGAGAGGGTCAGTTTTCACCAAGGCCGGAACTCCCTCAAAGAAAGCTTGTGCTTGCTCTCCATCCCTCCACTTAACTCTGAGCGATGGAAGCTCCATTCAAGCTGGGCCCGTCCTTCTCTCTCAGTGCATGCCCAAGCAAACAACCGCTGTGATAGCGGACCCACATACCCAAAAGAGCAATTCTCCTCTCCTCATTACCATGAATGTCAGTTCCCTGCCCCCGTGTGATGAACTTCCATTCAAAAAAACCACTTGACCTCTGGCTTCAGGCTTGGAAAATATCCCGGATGTGTCAAGTTGGATTCTAAAAACGATAGAATGAGGCTACTCGCTTCAGTAGAGACCGTTCGAAAGGGAACGCTTTGGTTAATCACATAACCATGGTTCCCCGAGATAAGGGAACGGGCTTTGCGTAGGCTGCCGTGCTGTGCTATAAGGCTGTACGTGAA